AAGGATCCAGGTTTGTGATCCAGACAAGGATGACAACATATACGTTGAACATGTTTGAAATAATCATTTCGATCAAGATCAGACCATGATGTTATCTTTTCGGTTCTTATTTTGAATTGCTTTTATTATATCATAATTAAATATAATCAAAAAAGAATAATTTCTGTTTGCAACTTGTGAAAATGTTCTGACACATTGTCTTCTTGTTTTTGTTGACGATGATGAAAAGATAAAGCTACATGTTATTCAATGAATTACAAGTATCTGTTTGGATAAACTATTGATATGGTAAAATTTGGTATCTTTATACGCAGGTTAAATTATTTGTTCAGATTCTTGAATCAAAATAATTGCATTCTAAAACTGATATATTATTCCAGTATTTTAAGAATAGATTTTTAGGCTAAAACTGTGTACTAATCTCTGACTGAAAATCACAACTAAGTGTTTTCATCTTATATTCAAATGTGTATGAAATGTATGTGTGCTTTGTCAATTTTAAAACATATGAGGGGCAAGATTTTCCTAATTACATACTTTTATCCTAACTACTCCATTATATGTTCTGATTATGGTATCGACATTTTATAAAAACTATTTTTGTTTTCAGGATGTATTTACAAGTGCGTCACATCTGCTTTTCCAAGCTACCAGACACCATGTCTACTTTGGTCAAATTAACATCATATTACCTAAATCTTGGAGTGCAAAACCAGAATATACCGCAATGAAAGCACGTTCCGAGTTGGAGTCATACATAACAGTTGAAGCGGGAAAATTGATATCTCCGCATACAAAGCGTAGATTAAAGAAGTGCGGACACGCGGGACGATACATGTATCTCCATGCTGATTTCCTACTGGAAGAGGGGAAAACAAAGTGGGGACATCATGGTAAACAAGGATACTGATTATTATTTATTTCATTAAAAAGATTTTACCAAAATGTTGACTGGAAAGACTTCAAAATATTCTATGCAATACAATGTAATTTGATTAATTATTGAATCGAATTTATTGTAGTTCTTAGCAAAGGCAAATTTGTAATTTTGTCTTCTTTACTTTAAATGTTATGAGCAGAAAACGTGTTGGTACATGAGTGGGGACACTTAAGATGGGGATTATTTGATGAATATCCATTAGAGAAGAATAAAAGATTTTATTTGGAAGATGGTGTGTGGCATCCTACCAGGTAATATACCGTTTTCAAATGCTACACAAATGTACGTTACTATAAAGGAGGACGTAAGTTGTCATAACGAGACAAAATGCAAAATTAAAAGGTTAGCTAAATGTTCATTATGTAATATTTTTAATGTTATCGACTATATAGATGTACAGTATAGTACATGTTAAGTTTAGAACTTGAAAAACAACTGTCTGAGATTTTTATTGAGAGGAAACTTTTTTTAAAAGATTACTTTTTAAAGCTTCGTATCTGATAAAAGACAAAACTATCTGACAAAATATACATGTATATGTATATATTAAAATTCAAACCTGTAAAAAAGGAAAATAAAACTTTTCACAATTTCAGGTTTCAGATACAATGCTTAATACTTAATGGGGCATATATTTCATTAAGTGAAAAGTAATTTTTAGGTGCAGTAAAAAAGTAAAAGGAATTGTTGGCATGGGTCAACAATGTTCAGCATCACCTTACTGTACAGTTACTGACACAACTGAAGTGATGGATAAAGACTGTAAATTCTGTCCCGATGAAACCCAATCACAGTCCAATTTAAGTTCATTAATGGCATACAACTGGGTAGACGGGGTATGTGGCATCACGTTTTACTTCCGAGAAGATTATTAACCTTGAAATGTGCTTCGTAACAAATCATTGCATGCTTTGCTTAACTATACATCTTAATTTGTTACAATCAGCCGGGTTGAAATTTCATGATATATTTCGTATGAAAAACATCTGCGAACTAAATTGTTACATTTGTATACATTCTTGGCAGCCTATATAAATGCAAGAGATTAATATGATCTCAAACTTAGATAAACTGTATAAAATCACGTGTTCATGTTATTATTTTTAGTTAAGAAAAAGATCAAAAGATATTTGTCTGCATTTGACTTCATGTTCTTTTTGTTATTATTTGGGGTCATACTGTGTTAAACAGACCTGAAAAAGATGTTTTATATAAGTTTCATAATTTATTTTAACAGATAACACTGTTTTTGTGATAAAGAAAGATGATTGAAAACTATTCCCATACATCAAAAGCATAACAGTAAAGCTCCAAACCAACAAAATGACAAATGTCAAGGCCGTAGTGCATGGGAAGTAATGAGGGACCATATTGACTTCCAATCAGGTTCAAAACCACTTTTTTAATCAGATTCAAAAGCAGTTGCCTGTTTCAACAATATAATGTTGTTTTTAGTTTGCAATGGTATGATATAAAATTTGAATGATGTAACTTATTAGTTTTCATTTACAATTAAAAGATACTAGTTCAATTCAAACGGTACCTTTGGAAGTCTAATACATTGCCCCAAAGTTCATTGATATATTTTCGTTCGAGGGCATCGTTTCAAAAAATGTAAACTCTAAAACAAACAAGATTTTCAACTTTGAGATATTCTCACGCAACACCGGGTCATGGATGTTTTCTAATGAAAGTAGTTCTTACTGTTTACTTTCAAATACCACTACGGCAATTAAAATAGTAACGATTAAAGCATTTAATCACACATTTTATCGCAAACAAAGGCTGTTTGAACACACGGATGTGTTGTTGACACCTGTCACACAAGCTGATTGGAAATCGTCTTCGCAGCCAGATAAGGTGTGAAAAATGTCTCGAGATCGAAGGTGTCAAAATAATCGAAAAACTTCGACTTATTTGTGGTAAATTGCACTAGATTTACTTTATACGGACCACGAAAAACTTCGACACATCGAAAAATTCGACGCATAAAATCTCGACTCATAAATAGGTTTTTATAAGGAATATATAGGGGAAAAAATCGGGACTTTCATTATACCCCCAAAAACGAAGTTTGTGGGGGTATATAGGAGTCACCCGGTGGTCGATCGGTCGGTCGGTCGGTCGGTTGGTCGGTCGGGCGGTCGGTCGGTCGGTCGGTCCAGACGTCCGTTGCATTTTCCTTGTCCGGAGCATAACTTGAAAACTAATGGTTGGAATTCAATATAACTACATACAATGGTCAAGCACATTGAGAGGAAGTGCAGTGCACAAGAACCATAGCTCTATCTTGACTAATTACAGAGTTATGGCCCTTTGTTACTTTTCCTTGTCCGGGGCATAACTTGAAAACTACTGTTTGGAATTCAAAACAACTTCATACAATTGTCAAACACAATAAGGGGTAGTGTATTGCACAAGAACCATAACTCTATCAAAAGTAATTACAGAGTTATTGCCCTTTGTTGCTTTTTACATTGCTTTTTTTGTCCGTTGCATTTTCCTTGTCCGGAGCATAATTTGAAGACTAATGGTTGGAATTCAATATAAGTACATACAATGGTCAAGCACATTGAGAGGAAGTGCAGTGCGTAAGAAACATAACTCTATCTTGACTAATTGCAGAGTTATATGCCCTTTGTTACTTTTCCTTGTCCATGGCATAACTTGAATACTACTGGTTGGAATTCAAAACAACTTCATACAATTGTCAAACACAATAAGGGGAAGTGCAGTGCACAAGAACCATAACTCTATCTAAAGTTATTACAGAGTTATTGCCCTTTGTTGCTTTTCAATTGCCTTCTTTTTTTGTCCGGAGCATAACTTGAAGACTAATGGTTGGAATTCAATATAACTACATACAATGGTCAAGCACATTGAGATGAAGTGCAGTGCATAAGAACCATAACTCTTTATAAAAGTAATTACAGAGTTATTGCCCTTTATTACTTTTCCATTGCTTTCTTTTGTCCGGACCATAACTTGAAGACTAATTGTTGGAATTCTTTAATAACTTCATACAATGGTCCAGCACATTGAGAGGAAGTGCAGTGCACAAGAACCATAACTCCATTTTTACTTATTACAGAGTTACTGCCCTTTGTTTCTTTTCCTTGTCCAGAGCATGACTTTAAAACTACTGGTTGGAATTCAAAACAACTTCATACAATGGCTAAGCACAATAAGGGGAAGTGCAGTGCACAAGAACCATAACTCCATCTTGACTAATTACAGAGTTATTGCCCTTTGTTACTTTTCCATTGCTTTCTTTTGTCCGGACCATAACTTGAAGACTTATTGTTGGAATTCATTATAGATTCATACAATGGTCAAGCACATTGAGAGGAAGTGCAGTGCATAAGAACCATAACTCCATCTTGACTAATTACAGAGTTACTGCCCTTTGTTACTTTTCCTTGTCCAGAGCATGACTTGAAAACTACTGGTTGGAATTCAAAACAACTTCATACAATGGTCAAGCACAATAAGGGGAAGTGCAGTGCACAAGAAACCATAACTCCATCTTGACTAATTACAGAGTTAGTGCCCTTTGTTACTTTTTCCTTGTCCAGAGCATAACTTGAAAACTACTGTTTGGAATTCAAAAACAACTTCATACAGTTGTCAAGGGGCATTCAAAGGGAAGTGCCATGCCACCAAGGCCCATAACTCCATTTTGAACAAAATAACAGAGAATACTGCCCTTGTGATACTTTTATCCTTTTGTCCGGGAGCAGTAACCCTTAAAACTTTACTGGATTGAATTCAAAAACAACTTCATAGAATGGCCCAACAAATAAGAGGAAGTGCAAGTGCACCAAGAACTATTAACTCTATTCTTCAAGTTTTAAAGGTTATTGCCCTTTGTTTTCTTTTTCTTTTGTCTTTCTGGCTTATTACAGAGTTAATTCAATTAAACTTCAATCAATGGCCAACAACATTTAAAAGGAAAATTGCAACATCAAACCACAAATTATCTTTAATTTGCCCCACAACCATTAAACGTCCTTATGTTTCATTATTTTAGACAAGGTAAATTCTCACCTTAAACTAGTAAACATCCTCATTTCCGAAGCAGACTTGTAAGGGTATTAATCACATTTAGTGATAGTTCTAGTTTTTCTTCGAAACATCGAGAAAATCGACTAATCGAAGTTCGACTCATAGAAGTTCTACTGTATATTGCAAATGGCAACATATTCATGATCAGATCTTAATAGAAATTAGTTCACCTTTGAGTTGCTATGTTACACTCGCCAGGAGCATCATTTTCAGTATTTTACCTCTAGAAATGAAGATTTATAAAATGTTATTAATTGTGTAATCTTTTTCAAAATTTTCATTTGACATCTTATTAAAAGCTTTAAAATGAGCAATTTATCTTTAAGATTTATTAAGTGTTTAAGTTATGTATGAACAACTTGCTAGTAATATCTCTCCGTTTCAAAGAACTCAAAGATTAGGTCAGCTTGTGTTGGGGTTTTTTTGTTGTTGTTGTTGTTGTTGTTGTTGTTTTATTATATTATTATTTCATATTTTATGATTATAAGCATAATAAAAATATATGGATATTTTAGTAATGCCAATCAAGACTTGAAACTCTTATGATTATTCGAAGTTTTAGAATTAATGCAATACATTTTTGAATATTTTCTAATTTTAAAACAGGCTTGTATTATTATACCTGCTTTTATTTTTCAGAACCCCTGCCAGCAGTCACTGATACAACCCCTGTGTTCAACATTGTCCGTGAAACTGATGGTTACCGTGTATTTGTATTAGACGTTTCTGGTAGTATGTCTGTATGAATCTTCGTTATTTATCAATTCATTTGCTTTAATTACTAATATCACACGAATATATATAATCATCATTCTCATTAGTACGCCTTCTATATAAAACATTACCCTTAATTATATAAAAACTCCGGTGAAGAATATCTTATAATGTTTTATTATCACATAAGACATCTCACTCAAAAATGATATCATATGAATTGATAGTATTGCGAATGGATAACTTGAAATTCTGTCGGCTAACATCGGCCTGTAAAATTATGTGTATACAGTTCTCATATAGTATATCATTTCAATATACAAACACATATAATGTCATCTCACTCATTTATTTAATAACTAGTGTGAATAACACCATTCTTATATGTTCTGCTTAGATTCGCCTTTTGACACTATTTCATGTCATAATAAGCGTATTTAAAAGATTTTATTTGCAATGTAACATAAAGGTTCAAGATGGAATATTCGGTTTTGGTGAGGCATATTTTTCACAGCTGTGTACTCGTCGAAATATAATTGCGTATTATACTGTACATTATCATTTTTATATCGTAAGCTGTTTATAAAAGCGTCCTTCTGATTAGCTGATTTTCTTTGATGTCATGATTGGGAAAAAAGACTTTTGTAAAAAAACCCCCTTGAAGAAAAAACCTGTGTTTTGCTTGGCATATATTCTTAAAAAAAGGTAGACATTACTCTACCCAATGGTATACGATATAACGACAACAGACTTATGTTTTAGTCAATATAAAAACTTTACATTTCTAAATAAACCTCGTACAGTCGTCCTTTGTCAACAGAACTTTTTTCAAGTCCGTAAAACTATATGTAGACCTCAAAATATGTATAATTGCAGTCTCAAGGTCTCATGTAAGAATAATTCAACATGTCGCCTTTGCAATACACATGCCCATCAAAAGTTTGGAGACAAGTCAATAAAAACAAGTATTCTTGGCAAAATGCCCAATTTAATTCATTCTGAATGTATAATAATACATTTTAATTCATTCATGTCACATATGATCACAAAAAAAGCAATGCACAACCTAGATTAAAAGTATAAAATGCCAAATTTTGTCTCATTTTCCTAATAGCACAAAACCCAACAAACAGCAGTACAGAAAAAATCACACAGTTAGTGCTTAGTGTGTCCGCCTCAAGCTGTAAAAACGGCTTGAATTCTTCTAGGTATACTCTTAAATAATGTTCTACTTTCAACTCATACCAGGAATCACAATCATTGACAGTTCTCTCAGATTACCATGATGCTTGTTCCCGATCTTCATTTTGATGTCATGCCACAAGTTTTCGATGAGGTTGAGGTCTTGAAACTGTAGTGGCCAGTTCTCCAAGCACCTAATGCTCTTCTGGGAGTGCCATTCTTTCACTATCTTGGCCCGGTGGCACGGGACACCATCATTTTGGTACCAGAGCTCATCTCCATACACTAGCAGATGAGGCGATGGTATGACACAATTGCTCAAAACGCAATGTAACCTTTGGAATTCAAGTTTCCATGCACGACCTTCAGAATAACCAGGTCCTTGGAAGCTCATGGCCCCCCATACCATGATTCCACCACCTTGAAATTTCACTGTTGACACAACACATTCGTCCAAAAGAGCTTCACCTGAACGTTGTCTGGAACATGTTGACCTTGCTCTCATCGGTGAACAAACAGTGGACCAATCCACCCATGTCCAGCCAGAATGTGCTCTAGCAAAAGCCAAATGCTTCTGTCTATGATCATTGGTCAGTAGTGGATTCTTAATGGCTTGATGACACTTTAATCCAACTTGCTAAAGTCTGCGATAAACTGTGGAATGTGAAGCTTTAACTCAGTCAATTTCGATGACCTTTTGAGCAATGGAACAATGAGTCTCCTGTCTTGTAAAGATTGCCTGATAAGCAAGGGGAGCGTCTCTTAGTGTAGCGACCTTTTGGCGGCCCAATCTAGGTCGATCATGGTAACTTCAAGTAGCCTCAAATCAATCCAGGATCTTGTGAACAGTGGGTTTGGAAGAAGGAAAAGGAAGTTAACCACAAAAGAAACATCCAAAGCTGATATTGTTCTTGCAAAAGAATTTACAATATTCAGCAAGTGAAAAAAATCATCAATTTAAGTAACCAACCTTCCTATTCCCAGAATGTTGGTAATTTCTGAAGCAGCCACTCCTTGACTTCTCAGGGTTTTACAGCGCACTCTGTCTTCAAAAGGAACCATTGTATTGTGGAACATTCACTAGACTGACCATGGAAGTTATGTTGATATTTGGGCAGACATTTCTTATGGATTATTAAAGGTTTTTGAAGTGATAGAAAACACTAGTTAATTGTCAGTTTTCTCTAAAAATATGTAGAACTGTATGTTTGTCCTATAAACTGTGACTTTCTTAACATTTTTATGCCAAAAGATAATAAATGGAGGTAATATTATATTTCAAACAATAAAACTGCATTTGCTGGACAGATTTTGCCAAGCATACCGAAAAATTAGTGAAATGTTATGTGTCTCTAGACTTTTGATGGGTACTGTATATGTTCCTTTTGTCCAATTATATATCAAAGAACATATTTAATTTATTTAACATACGGGATTTGTCATAATGTTTTCTTTTTCAAGTATAAGTTAATCCGTAGATAGAAAAACAAAGTTATGACAACCTAAGCTAAATTCGATAATTTGACCTTGATTGTTAAAATAATCTTCTTGTACCCAAGTATGGATACAAGTCTATATTATAGCAAAATAACTGACGGTCAAGGTCAATGTCATATATGAGTTATATTGAGTTTTAAATTTCTTTCAGGCATTGTCATTGAAGTCGTATGAAGCAGTTCATTAATTGAATGAAAGATTAAAGTCAATTATAACAAAATTCAATAAAATTTAATAACTAAAACTTCAAGGTCATTGATGAGTGAATGTCATAATCAATTAAGTTAAGTTCTTTTCCAAATAATTCTTGTATTTAAATATGAAGACAATCTGTTCATAAATAATAAAGTGTCAATTAAAGCATATGTCATGTAAAATTCAAACATTTGACCTCGAAGGTCAAGGCCATCTTTGAGTCGAGGTAATGTTTAGTCAGGTCAGGGTTGTTTTGTTTTAAATATGAATGCAATCTATAAGATAATTGTAAATAATGACTTTACAAAAGTCGAGTTTTAATTAACTGTTACGGATTCATGTCTGCTATCTGCAAAAAGACATGAAGACCTGCTTCGCATATACTCTGTAATAAATTATTGTATAAGATTTACGACTAGTGTTTCTCTCGGACTTGATTTAAGTAAAACGTCCTCGATCGATCTTACTTCACATAGGGCCAAACACTATATATTGACCGAAGTTGTATAATATATCCAAAAAATGTATTCATTAAACTTGTTCTTTTTACTTCTTTAACAAAATCAAAATTTGCTAGCTGGTTAGTGTTTTATTCTTGCCAGACTAATGAAAGAAGCAAAAAGTTATATCAAGCCAGTAAGTATGTGATCCAAAAAAGAATTCCAGACAACAGCTGGTTAGGTATTATTTGGTTCAACGACGCTGCTGACGTTAAAATGAATTTAACCCATGTCGTGTCACAAAAAGTTCGAGACTATCTGGTCGCTGCATTGCCGCAAAGGGCTACTGGAGGAACATGCATCGGGTGTGGAATAGAAAAAGCTCTGCAGGTTAGAATTTATTTCCTTATCTTTCACATATAGATCTTGGCCATGTTTTAGGCATTTCAACATCTTTTAAGGTCATTGATTAACTTAAGGTTCTCTCTCTCGTTGATGTGGCAAGCAATTTCATTCCATCATGAGAATATTATTATTTTGAACGTTAAACAACTAAGAAAATAAATCTATTTAAAAATAGTGCGAAACTAATTCAATGATGATATGTAGAACAGCACGTGAAGCTTCAAAGTTTCATTAGAATATTTTTATTGTCCCCGCCTTTTCGAAGAAAAAAGGAGGATATAGTAATAGGTCCGTCCGTCTTCCGTCCCCTCGCCGTACTTCTTTTCCGGTTAATAAATTTGTCATTATTTGAAAGGAAAACAAATTATTGGCACAAATGTTTTTTTTAGACATGGTCTTGCGCAAAACCAGACCCCAACTCCAAGGGCAAGTTGCTCTTGCTCATTCAAGGTTAAATTTCTTTAATTTGATGTATATGTCGTTCCGGTCATAAATTTCATCTTTAAAGAATTTTGTAATATTTGCCACAATTGTTCCAATAATGAGCGATGTGTCATGCCCCCAAACCCGTCACCCCTCCAAGGTCAAGGGCCACTTGGAGGTCAAAGGTTAAAAATCTTTCAGGGATATTTTGTGTCAGTCTATAACTTTTTCATTTATCAAAGGAATCTGCAATAACTTGGCACAGATGTATGTAATAATAAGACGATGTGTCATGCGCAACAACCAGACCCCTACCTCCAGGGCCAAGGTCGCACTTGCTCATTCAAGGTCAACATTGTCTATTTGATGGTATATGTCGTGTCCGGTCCATAACTTTCTTATCTTTGAAGGGATTTTGTAAATACTTGCCACAATTGTTCACAATAATTAGACGATGTGTCATGCGCAACAACTGATCACCTACCTCCAAGGTCAAAGTCACACTTGGAGGTCAGAGATTAACATAGTTTATTATTATTACAGGGTATATTTTGTGTCCGGTCCATAACTTTTTTATAGATCAAAGGATTTTGTCAATACTTGCCACAAATAGTCACTAAAATAAGACAATGTGTCATGCGCAACACCTGCATCCCTACCTCCAAGTTCAAGGTCACACATAGAGGTCAAAAATTAACATAGCCTGTTTTAGGGTATATTTTGCACTTCTTTAGGATTTTGAAATAACTAGACACAAATAGTCACAATTATAAGACATTATGTCAGGTACAACACCTGCACCAAGGTCAAGGTCACACTTAGAGGTCAAAGGTTAAGAGAGTCTGTTATATGGTTTATTTTGTGTCCCATCTATAACTTCTTCATAGATCAAGGGATTTTGAAAGTACTTGGCACAAATAGTCACAATGATAAGATGATATGTCCTGCCTAACGCATGTGTCCCTACCTCTGAGGTCAAGGTCACACGTTGAGGTCGAAGATTTACATAGTCTGTTAAAGGGTATATTTTGTTTCCAGTCCATAACATGGGATTTGTAAAATACTTTTCACAAATAATCAAATTTTATAAGATGATATGTCAGGCACAAAACATGGGTCCCTACCTCCAAGGTCACACTTAGAGGTCAAAGATTGACATAGTCTGTTATAGGGTATATTTTGTGTCCGATCTATAACTTCTACATAGTTCAAGGGATTTTGAAAATACTTGACACAAATAGTAATATTAATAAGACGATATTTCATGCACAACACCTGCACCCCTACCTCCAAGGTCAAAGTCACACTTAGAGGTCAAAGGTTAACATGATAGAATTTAAATTCAATCTTTCATTTTACTAGTATTTCTATAATAAATTTATTGTTGCATTTGCAGATCTAGCATTGATCATAATTTTAGACTGAAAGTCCTGAAATCCATACCTCAATCTTTTGAAATAGCACAATTATATGCTTCATATAAAACATCCCCGAGGCGGGGACGTTGGTAACTCTGTTACAAATTCTTGTTTATATGCATGGAATATTTCAGATTTTCAGGTTTGTTACCACAGATTTAAGAGGGTGTGAAATCATAGTAATTTCAGACGGTAAAGACGGCAACACTGCAAACTTTGATTCTGCTATGGAGCATGTTATCAATGAGAAATGTGTCATACACACCATTTCTATTTCCCAAGCAGCAGATGAAAGAATGATATCCATGGCAACAAGAACTGGAGGAATTCATATTTCTTACCTTGAAACTGAGACAATTAATTTTGCGTCCGTATTTATGGGGGTTGTTTCCAAGGGGGTTACACAAGCAGCTATGGAATCAACCACGGTTCGTTGTTTAACTGATATATATTTGTTTATTCAGATGCAATGTGTTTTGTGTTTTGTCTAGATATATTTCTATATATTGTTAATAGACTTAAATGGATATCAAAATAGTAAGCAAATAGGCATGTTTTCATTTGAAAGATAAATGAAAAAAGTTCCAATATGTGAATACATTAACAGACACTTGTAACTGACTGAAAGCTGAGAATTCTTGTTCAACAAACATGATCAAATGTCATGTTATTTTATAAAAGCCCTCAGTAAAATGATAATAAATCATTTTGTTATGTCTATTCATTTCAACTGATTTCCTAACTCTTCATTCAAACACAACAAGCTGCTAAAGCTGCTCGATTAAAATTGCACTTGGATATAAAATATATATCTTTTTCCAAATAGCTTATATCGGAGACGGTTGACACTCTCGGTCCATCACCGTATACATTCACTTTTGATGTAGATAACAGTGTTGGAAAGAACACTACCGTTAGTGTTCTAAACAAGGTGTCAGGGTCAATAAATATTAATGTTGAAAGTCCAAATGGAACCTTATATTCACAACAAGCCAATGGGGACAGTCTTGTATTATGTATTCCCGGGATAGCAGAGGTAAGCCTTAAATATCTGACCACCAGATGTACGATATTAAATTTAAAAGTTTAGAAAAAGGTTTAATTATAATTAGTTATTTTGCTTTTCTTCATTGATAAAGTGTTTTTTCTCTGAGTATCAATCCACAGAATAATATATAATTATAACTGTCGTAATAGTTTGTTTACGTTTTTTATGTTTTGCCTTGCGTATAATGTTTAGGACAGAATTTCAGTTAAGTGCATGAATAATGTTTAAATTGCACACGAATATGTTCAACTCATTTTAACATGTGATTGCTTTCATTGCTATGAAATGCTTTACAGCCCGGACGATACAATGCAACAATCGAAGCAGAATCCACTTTTGAACACATTGTTACCTCTGAACCAACTGGACCTGAGGTAGTGCGAGTTGATTCATGGATCAGTCCAGTTAATTTTGACTTTGTCTCTGGCAATCTACCTGTTGTGGGAGCTGATGTATCGAAAGGGAGATCTGCTGTTTTAAATGCAAATGTGACGGCGATTATAGGTACAGGAGTTTCCGTGCCATTATTCGACAATGGACTTGGTAAGAACTTTGTTCACGCTTGCATAAGTGCCTATTTTAAAATGCTTAGAGTTCGACATATCCATTGTGCAAGAATGGAAAAACTGTTTGATATATATGATGTATGTTGAATATAATCATTATATGTCTTATGGTAATCTGTCTCTCATTTCTGATCGGGAAATCTAGTGGGATTAGTAGTCAGCCACTTGCGAATAGACTGGTAAGTTATCCAGGAAAGCCAGCACAAAAAAAATCAAATGAAACAAGCGCTATGTTTTGTTTTTGTCCTTATTGAAAAAGTAGCATACTGTCGGTAACCACTGAAAAAAGGGAAGAGATAAATTGTGGATTGTAATATTTATTCCTACTGAACAAATTGTAATAAAATATTTGCAAACTAACCTTTTATTATCTTATTTTAGTCATTGGTTGGTATTTGTTACCGGCTTGATCTCAGGAAGATCAACTTGTATCTTGCAGTTATTATATTATATTTTACATAATACTGCAAATGAACAACCAGTGTTTAGTATTAAAATGACGTTAAAGTTAAACTTTATTTCATCCTGTTGTTACTTTCGAAGCATGTTGTGTTTATATGGCACACTTTCCAAATATGCTCGGCAAAATATAATTTTGATTAGATTACAAGGATTTGAAGAACAGTGTCTCAGATAATCTCAAGTACCTAATTGCCATGATTTAATCACGACAGTTTATCTTATGTAATTTCATTATAACTTAGATCCAGATGACTTGGCAAATGATGGGGCTTATGCCGGAGTTATACCAAGATATTGTATTCAAAATAATGGTCGCTTAACTGCAAAAGTTATTGCGCATGCAGAAGGTGGTACAGCATCTATTAAAGATTCCTTTGGTATCAGCGCAGGATATCAATATTCAGGTAAGTCCAAAATACTAGTATAGATATTCACTATTTGTAAATGAATAGCCTACTTCAGAATACTACCTGGAGAGGAGTAGCAACAGTGTACACGTTCTCTAATCTTATACAGTCAAAACATATGTTTTTAAGATCTGATTTATATGCAACTAATTATCATAGCAATATATAGCGGTCAGATATTATATATTATTAATTTAGATATCATTTTTCTAATTAAAACAAACACGTTCATGCGTACATTGCAGATGAAGATTTGGAAGAACCAGAAGTTCTCAAAGACAGCTTCCAGCGTGTCTCTCTGCATAATGAGATTCTTGTATCAAATTTCTCGCCTGTCATTGCGAAAACTGACATCACACCACCAGGCCGTATCACAGATGTAGATGTTATAGATATAACTACAGAAAAAACAAATTATGGGGAGAGCAGAAACTTTACTATTACATGGACGGCAACGGGAAATGACGTAAATATTGGACAAGGTATACACGCAGTTTATAGTTTTCTATTTGCTTGTTTCTATTTAGTGTAGTTGTAAACTAGATAATCTACAGTTAGTTTCAGTATCAGAGTTATTAACAGTTTTTCAGATATCTTTAATCTTATTACATGATTAACATCGAGGAGTAGGCTATTGAAATCTGCCGGAGGATAATAATTCATTTTCAGCTTTCCTATAAAAGATTTTTTGTTTGTATGTTTCTATACCGATTTCAACACATTGTTTTGGTCATATTTCGGCGGTCCGCCTAAATGATGTATGTGTTTATCGGCAAGTAAATACAATTTTTTCTTTTCTACTAATCTTACATGATTTCTTGATCAGTGTTGAGAGACAAATGGCCATTTGCCTTTATATTCAAGATCGTTTGTCATGGAAAAATGTCGCCTCGTCAGGGGACCAAACCAGCAATTATATATATATGTGTGTGTTGCGAAAATAAAAAAAAATAAAAATCTTGAATTTCGCCAAAACGTGCGTGTCTAGCTTGTCGGAACCTTCAATTAAAAAAATCCATATTCAAACACCATTATAACAAATACTAGTAAATGATAAAATACTGTTAGCCTAATGTTACATACATATATTTTATTTCAGCTGCAAACTATGAGCTTAGAATTGCAGACGACATTTATACACTGATAAATAACTTTTCGGCGGCCACAATGCTAGATACCGTGAATACAAATTACACACCAAAGGCTGCAGGTGAAACTGAGTACATCAGGATAGAAATCGACGCAGAAGAATCGTACACGTCAACCACATTCTTTGCTTTACGGGCAAAGGACGAAGCTGGAAACCTTGGCGATGTTTCTAACATCGTTTCTATTCTTGTTGCCAATGGATACAGAATACAAGCAGAAGGTGACGTTGAGAAACCTAACCGCACAAACAAAGTTTTTCAGTTTAATACTGAGGAAGAACATGTTGAAGGAAAACTTGAGGAGGAAGAAGAAGAGGAAGAAGAAGAACCTGTTGAAGGAAAATTAGAGGAAGAGGAAGAAGAAGAAGAAGGAGGAGAAGAAGAAGAAAAAGAAGAAGAGAAGACGACAAAGCTGAACATGCTAGGTATTGGATTGTCATGTGCAGCGGTTGTCATCGTCATAGTTATAATAGTAGTAGCGGTAATTCGGGATAAGAAAAGAAAACAAAATTTTGAAATAACAAGATCACCAGAGGTTAGATATTCTGAACAATTACAAGTGTGACTGTTTCCACCTGCTTTACCAAGCACAGTGTATTCGCTAATTATTTGTGACAATTACATTGCATAGTGTGTAAATGACTTAAAATAGCCTACATGATATAAAAAAAATTGTGCAAATCAGAAACCTAAGTAAATCATGCCATTAAGTCAATGTTTATTAATATTTGGTATGTTCAGTGTTTTCAATTCATTACAATTCATTACAATCTCGTCTCATATTGCTATGTGCCAATTTTGGATTTCATACAGCTTCGTGCTTAAAAAGTGACTTTAAAGGAATGACACTGTTCTTATTTAAGAATGTATGACATCATTTTTCATAAAAATATTTTTTGAACTTGACAACAGATCTTAATAACCCGTCTCATTTTAAAACACGGATAAACTGAATAATGCCTATTGACTATGATATTGCGCTAGCAATGTCGGAATAAGCAATGTAAGATTTTATAATGAATAAATGTTATTTCAATCCATGAACAAAGTTATCTTTTAAACATGACATTGAGTCTGATTTTGGATGAAAAATTGGCATTATTTTTTAAATAAAAATTATAAACATAAGTATGATCTTTTTCTATAAGTAATATTCTTTGTTTTCTTACATAGAGGAAATTGATTGAGTTCGGGCTCAATAATGACATAAACGAGCTGAATATAATTATATTATGGATGCCTTTTGTCAGCATGCAGCATGTCTAAATCAAAAAGTTGAAAAAGTGAATTTACTCGGTTATATCTATCACGAACCGATGCATGATCATGGTATTGAAGGAGAAAATGAATAAAATCATATTAAACCTAGACAAAAATGAGCATCATCGCCTATTAATAGATGAGAATATGTAACTAGTGTGTCCTATTCGACATTTAAGAAGAACCTGATCTTGAAGTTTTACAAAAGAGATTGCGACATGTTAAGTCAGCGGTCTATATCATTAAGTTTGTTAATATTGCTTTGTCCTAATTTGATTTCCTTACAGATGATGTAGTTTTTCTATGGAAGGTTTAAATCATTACATGGTAACAGTAACTCTAATGGTTTAGCAATGGAAGGTTCTTTAGCAAAACAATATACATTTTCATCTCCTCGTATTCCTTTTTGCCTTGAGATCCAACACAATTTCACTGATGACTTGGTTTTTAAGACGTCACAACATCGAAACAAGAAACTTTATATAATAATATTATTAAATTTTCTATTTTTATAACACAGAGTGTTAATCTGAAGAAAAAACACATACAAAAAATATAATTACGCTGTAGTACTAGTATGAATAACAATGCTAAATCAGTAGATTTTGCTTCAGCAGTTAAGAAATATAGTTTATCAGGTAGTCTCATCCTAGATGACAGCTGTAGCTACCTTTGCAAACATCATTGGAACCGTCCGTGTAAATATGGATATACAATAAAAATTCGAAAGTATGGTGGAAAAAAAGTCGAATAAACAAACAAGTTTGTGTTTTCACCATCGCACTTTTTACTTTTAACCATCATGGTTTCGTTATTTCGACCTTTTACCATCGTGGTCCTGACTTTTCACCATCGTATTTTTCGCTGTCCTGTTAAACATGTATATAAAATTGATACTGGTAGTCCGAACAAGTGTACGTTTGAAATTTTGCAAAACACACAAGGTACTTACATTATGCTAACACTACGATTCAAAGGTATTAATATTATTATTTGTTTGTAATTGTATCCTTGGTAACAATAATCTCTTAAATTGTTAGCCATTGTTATGATCTCTGTGCACATGCCAGACAAGTCGATACTACGACAGTAACAGTCAACAGCTCGATGATAACATGTTGTTAGAACATGGTAAAAAGTCGGAACCACGATGATGAAATGTCAAAAGTACGATGATAAAAAAATCGGAACCACGATGATAAAATATTGAAAGTATGATGATGAAAAGTCCGGTTAAGGGCTATTGTCACACATTCGGAAATGATTATGTATAATAACGTCGGGAAAAAAACAGAATGAAAGAAGTTCTATCACGTGGTTTCAGATATAAACAAAAACAGAGATAATGTAAAACGAATGTTTATATTTGACATCTTATGTATGTTCCAGTACTCTTATGCTTGAAAATATGTCAGACAACAATTCGTAATTTAAATATGCCAAACAGTACTGTTGTTCAATTTTAAACAAATGCGACTAAATTTCAACAGGTTGGTTTTTTGTACCTTGGTTTCTACAACCATAATAATAAATATATAAATAATGTATTGATTGCTTTTGTACCTATGAATTCACTTAGTTTAGATGGACTTTTAATACATATATTGGCAATAAACTTGCCAACAACTCCCAACAACTTGCCAACTTGTTACTAACAGTCACCACAATTCCCAGGCTAGAAACATATATATGTCATTTCCTTTCCACTTTATTTCGACAGTTTCACCCGATGTTTTTTCTCTTTTTAAGAACAAACGTTCTTTTACTTGATGACCACGTGCCGTTTTTATTCGATTCACATTAAAAGTTCTACGATAACCGTTGTATAAACACTTTTTGAAGTTTCTAAAATTGTCTTGTATAAATGGCGGATACTTTTTATGCCTAAACGGTACCTTGAATTTACCACTTTCGTCCATGAACTGTCTCTATGCAACAATTTCAATATTGCCGTTTAGGGTGGTCTTAAGAAGTTATTTTTTCCTATTACATTTATATGTGCAGGTTAACAATACTAAACGCATTTAATTGTATACATTTTTCCTAGGACTTTTTTGGATTGTAATACATGTACTGCTTATTTGACAACTTGAATTTAATCAAGTGCAAATGTAACTAAATAAATGCCTCTGATTTCGAAGAAAGATGACATTTCCGGCAAACGATTTCTAGCTAATCCGCGATGCTTCTTTGTCAAGATGACCTTATATCATACATGTCTTGTCTGTTCACTTGTAAAAGATTGCACAATAAAGTAGTTGATATATTAAATATTTACATGGATCATTTTACCAGTAGTACAATATTTTTTCTTCGATAGCTTATGTTTTCTTATTGAATGTGACTCCTTACATTTTGCCAAGACAAGTTTCCATTATATAATGTAATATTAATAAAACCAGATCTGACTTCATTTCAATACTGGTCCATATCATACCCTTTTGGTTTTATGTGAAAAACCATAAATCATTTTTTTCTGTTTTAAATAACTTATTGTCTATACTGCATATTGAAATAAATGATGCATGTTTACATCACTTATTTATAACATTTTTTTGTGACAAGAAGTCATTGTGTACACCGGTCTTACGTCTTACTGACGATATTTGAGAGACCGGTGTGTATACAATGACAAGAAGTATCAATATCTTGAAACAAAGTGATCCCTCGGAAGCATTAATCACAACAAAATTTTAAGAGAATTACAGACTCGGTTTAATTGAGTCTGTACGTGAGGGATAATGAATACGTGCAACATCCCTCACGCCCCCTAGCACCGGCTTGAGCGGTACTCAATTCTCAACACTTAATAGTGCTGGCATCAATGATCCCGAATGACAAGAAAAATATAACAACACTGAAGTGAAGTACGTGGCAACTTTTTACAGCTGCCACACAGCACTTGACACCTGCTGTTGTGAAGTATAAATATCTTGAAACAAAGTGATCCCTCGGAATCATTAATCACAACAAAATTTTAAGAGAATTGCAGACTCGGTTTAATTGAGTCTGTACATGAGGGATAATGAATACGTGCAACATCCCTCACGCCCCCTAGCACCGGCTTGAGCGGTACTCAATTCTCAATACTTAATAGTGCTGGCATCAATGATCCCGAAACAAAACAGATAAGGAAACAGTGCAGATCATGATCAGACGGCTAATACTGGTCCGCACCGGTCTTTAAAGCCTAGAATCTGTTAATAATGCATATACTACTCTTATATCGGTATACTTCATTTATATTGTTTTATCATTGAAAATCGTATATGTATTTACTTCATCAATTTTTATATAACATTATGAATATAAGTCAATTGAATTCAATAATGTTTGTATAACTATTCATTTTTTCGTGCACATCGAAGTCTTGAAAAGTCATGCAGACGAACATTTTAAGTTGGAATTAGAAAGTACTATATAATTATTTTATTAATTGCATTACCCATTGAATTAGAAATAGAAAGATGAAATATTCATGATAATTTGGATGGCTGTACCATATAAAAACGTATTACCGCTAAGATAGTTCTCCCGACAAAGATGTTAGCTTAAAATACAAAATAATTTTAACAAAGTTTAAACATGAAAAAAGGGACCAAAAATGTTCTTAATATCAAAAAAATCTGAAATTAATTTACAAAGACTTATTTGTTCGTTTCGTATTTTATAGTGCTTTGAAATTTATTTAAAAATGGTACAAAGTTGAACGTACATGTATGAATTGACACTAAAAAAGTATGTGATATCCAATTGTGTTAACTGTATTTTTCAAAGATGGTATAATACAATATTTATACTGTAAACGGAAAAATACGCAACGAATGATCAGCAATCAATTGAACACTTCAATTACCTTACGATAAAATATTTTCGTTTATTTTGTTTCCTTATTGTTCTTAATTAGGTAACGAGGACCAAAGCTCCACATTCTTGTTAGCTATGTTAGAAATATGCTAGCTTCCTCATTATTTGGAGAACTACTCACTTTGTTGACTGTTCCTTAATATTCTCTACTTGCAACTGTAACTGCAGTCATGATGTCCTTCATGGTGAAATAGTTAAATGAAGAGTAGCTCACAATTAACTTTAATCGTACTGTGTTTGCTGGAGATAATTTTAGTGTTTGCATATTAAGTTAATTTCGTCATATATTTATATATAAAAAAACTATTTCGAGTATACTTAATGAAGTAATAAAAAGATCATAGTGAGGTGGTAAATTTGAACGCCTAGTATTGATGAGGGTGTCACAAGAAGACTTGAAGGACATTCTTAACTTAAGTCTATCTTAAAAGTTAAAATTTAACACAAACTTTAATCCTTGAGCATTGTCTGCACTGTAAAACATAATTTTGTGTCACTCTCAGAGTTAGCTTAACAACTAAAATTGGCGCCAAAATCAATGGTTAAAGCCACCTTAATTGTGCTTCATATTGATGACTTTTTCTCAAGTGTGATTGTTATTGAAGTCACATATACTTAAAGCAGTCAGACATTTTAAAAACAAAAATGATTTAACAGATAAAAAAAAATCTTGTAAAAAATTTATACATAAAGATCGAGTTCGTCCAAAAACTCAAGAGAAGACTGTTGGCGAGGAAGGTGCAACATTATTTTAAGATCGTGTCTTATTGTCAACCTAAAAAAAGGATTTGAATAACCACAGACATATGCTGACAGACCCGTTAACTGCTTTGATATTTGCTTTGATGACAAGTTGTGTTTCTGGTATATCCATTAACAAGGGAAAGTATGAGGATGTGAATATCGTTATCCAAGACACTGTTGTAGAGAATGGCGCCCTCTTAGAAAGGATCCAGGTATGTTATGTTGTTAATATGCTAAAAGAAATAAATAGATTGAATCCTTAAAAAAATGATTGTAACTTCAGTCAAAAGGCCTATATTCTAATCCCATAAATATCGTATTATTCTTATTTCTATCTATCTCAAAAACTTTTAATATTTGGTGTCATTTTACAGTTTCCAAAAAAATACTCATTTAGCATAATTATTTAGATGAGCCAGTTTTGCTTCTTTTACACTTTTGAATTTAGAACTTGCATTATAGTTCTTATTTTATTTTTCTGCCTTCTTTTTTATATGAAGAAAGAAATTCACGGATCTGTTACTAAAATTACATTCTATGATCGAGTGTACATGTGTATTGTAAAATTATTGGACTTGTATTATAGTGATTTTGTATGTTGTATGTAAGTCAAAATAGCACCTACATGGTTTGCATTTCTCTACCTTAATGACAAATAATTACGCATTAAGCTCTTCTTTTCCAAGACGATAATCGTCAATTATGGTCGAAATACAAAATTTTCAGAGCTTAATTATTTAAAGCATATTTACCCTTTTTAAAGAAGAAAACATCAACTCATTCTTGTGGGTCATGTGTCTTAAGCCATGACGATATTTTCATTTTCATATTGTTGTTTTTCTTTTCTTTTTATGCCTTCTGTTTTTAAAACTTCAGTATAACAAAATTTTCATTCGAAAAAAGAACATATATTAGGCCGTTTTAAGGTTGTTTGTTTTGGTTTGTTTGTATTAACAACGCACTTTATATTGCTGAGCCGGGTTTTTTTTACTATGCGTTTGTTTTAAAATTGACCTGGGGAATAACTCGGGATCTGATTTTTAGAAAAGACTGACATATATTTTGAAATTAGAACAAAGTATGGACTCCGCTACTCGAAACTTTATTTTTATATTATGTAGTACAAAACATGTTATATTATTATGTAGTACGAAATTCCTAAACATGTTAATACTTAACAATATAGCACAAATTGTAATGTAAAATTAATATTCTTATTAAATATATAAAATTGATATTCTCTTTAAATATACGAACGTTAATTGTAAGTACAGTTTGTTCTATCTTAATTAAAATGGAAATTCATTAGCAGAAAAATTTTAAATAAATTATAACTATTCAAATACTAATACTAATTGTATTTTTAAGGAAATAAGAATACACAAAAATAAATGAACAATGTGAACAATATGAACAGATTTTTAATTTGGCCTTATAGAACAAGAATTTTAGCCTACCTGAAATAAGAACAAAGTATTGAACTCCGCTATCCGAAACTGCGGTTTGCGGGCTTAATTTATACAGTTTTCCGAATTTTGGCAGTTATCAAAAACAGGTATATGATCGTATGCACGAATAAAAATAATCATAAACATTATTCACTAGTAAAATATCTAATTAAATAGATAGTTTTCCAACATTGTTTTGACAGACGTTCCTTTTTGCTCACATATAATGCTACCTTTTCACTCAATAAATTATGAACATCTTCCGGGGAAAGTATTTAATATCAAGGTATAATATGTAAAAATTTGACACGCGGTTTCCATTCTATTCATCAATAGATTTGCTACTCAAGAAAATGACGAATTTTATATAAAGAAAGAAATTTACAGATCTTTTACCGAATTTACATTCTTTGACCGTGTATGCATGTCTATTTTAAAATCATTGAACACTTTTTTCAATATTTACGTAATTAATTGATATTTATGTCAAGGTTCAACCTATTTCTAAATATGCATAATTATATAAATTAACCAGCAACCTAATAACAAATGTATATCTTGTTAAGGATGTATTTACTAAGGCGTCACAGATGCTTTTCAAAGCGACCAGACACCATGTCTACTTTGGTCAAATAAACATCATATTACCTAAGTCTTGGACTTCGAAACCAGAATATACCGCAATGAAAGCACGTTCCGAGTTTGAGTCATACATAACAGTAGAAGCGGGAAAAGTGAAATCTCCGCATACAAAGCGAAGAAGAAAGAAGTGCGGACATGCGGGGCGATACATGTATCTCCATTCTGATTTCCTGCTGGACATCATGGTAAAGAATGAAACCGATTGAAAAATGATATTTTTCTCTTAAGTTCAAACAATGTTTTATTTGTAACTTTTCATATACATGGTAAAGTACATAGAAATAAATTTTACGCTTAAAAAACTTTTTAAAAAAACTCACTTTTTCTCTTTGATCAATGATAACTTCGGAATGATAAATCTAAGGGCTTTTGAAATCGTTCATTTTAGATGCATTAATCAATTGATGCTGTTGCTTCGTTTGTTGTCCTTAACAGAGAATGATTGGCTAGTAAAACTATGTGTCTCCTTTACCTTATATGTTTTGAGCAGAAAATGTGCTAGTTCATGAATGGGGACACTTAAGATGGGGTCTATTTGACGAATACACCACAAAGAAAAGCAAAAGGTTTTACATGCACAGTGGAGTTTGGAATCCATCCAGGTACAGGATATTAATTTTTACTGTAAAAAATGATAAATTTGAAATATTGGCACAAAGAAAAACCGGCAAAACAAGTCAAAATAATGCTTTAAATACAAAATGAAAAATGCCGCAATTGAAGTATTTTATAATTATTGCAGGGTTATCTTTATCAGCTGTAAGATTTTTTAATTGGGGCAAAGGCAAATAATGCAAGGAAGTTAGAAATTAAACAATGATGTACTTATTTTAAATTATAGGAGACATTCTAACTAAAGATTAAAATTGTCACTCTTGTTGCACCACAAAATAATTTTTGACTTACAATATGACAATGCTGTAAACCGTTAATCAAATGCAGCAATACTTTTTATATACAAGTATGTTTGTTTAATTATGAATTGAGAAATAAACCTGCCTTGAATTTTCCTGCAGAGTATTGTTGTTGTTTTCTTTTTCTTTTATATCTCGTTTTTAATTGTATTTTATGCCTTGTGACTGAAACATGCAATGATGAAACAAAATATAAAAGAAAAGAAAAAAAATATAATTATGAAGAAAAAACAAATTAAATATATTTCAATATTTCAAGTTAGTTACTAAGTTTAAGAGCGAACACTTACCATGCTATCAATATAGAAATTAATTATTGTTCAGATTTGTGATGATGTCACATACAGTATTTGTATAATCTCCGACAACTTTGTCACTTCCTGATATTTTATTAGTTTGGTGGCGAGATTTTCTTGACGATATGGGCGCTTATGTATCTTATGACAGGGAAGGTGATAAGTTTAGATAAATTCTTATGACCTTAAGACGAACGTAAATTCTTACATGAATAGTAAATTGAAGGTGCAGTAAACAAGTAGAAGGTACTGTCGGCATGGGTTCAAGATGTAGAAGTACATCGTCCTGTACAGTTACTGACACAACTAAAGTGATGGATAAAAACTGTAAATTTTGTCCCGATGAAACACAATCCCAGTCAAATTTAAGTTCAATAATGGCATACAACTGGGTGGATGGGGTATGTCATATCATTTTTTATACTTCCATGATTACTTAAGGCCTTAAAATGTTATTCGTATTAAACATAGCGTACATAATATATACAGTTGTATTCTCTTTAAAATTTGCCGAATCCGAAAAAGTGCAAACTATCCACAAAAGATCAGATACCATGGCAAATTTTAGACGAGAGTATTTCTTTGCAAGGTTTTAAATTATGTATGCTTTGATAGCAAAAACAAACAACAACAACAACAGTAGAAGCGTTATCATCATCATCAGCAGCAGCAGCAGCAGCAGCAGTAACACACATTTTCACTAACGCATACCTAGTTTTTTCTTCGCGCGAGCTGTATAAGTCAACCACTAAACCGAAGTATAAATTATTAGAAACGAAACAGAAATTGGATCGATTTATGCCTTTTCATTATTTAGAGTTTTTGTTCACAGTGTCGGTATGAGATATTAATAAAAGAAGATAAGTCATCAAGTTTAAATTGGTATGTTTAAACAATTTATTGTTATTTTCGTTTTTCTTACTTGGGGAAACTTGGCGTCAGTCCGCGCTTCATTAGACAGGAACAAGATGTTTTAAAAGTTTATATTTATTAAAACAGATATCAATGTTTTGTGATAATGAAGATGATGAAATTATCCCCATACATCAGAGGCATAACAGTAAAGCCCCAACCAAACAAAATGACAAATGCAAGGGCCGTAGTGCTTGGGAAGTAATGAGGGACCATACTGACTTCAAATCAGGTTGTAAAACACTTATTCATTACAGCTATATATACAATTTTAGATATGTTCGTCGTAGTTTGCAGTATGACATTTAATAAAACAAAATCTGCAACAAAGCGTACTCGACATCAGATGTTAGTTATTATCGGTAAATAACAAAATGTTTGTTTCTTGTTATGAAGCTATGTTACTCTAAATCAAATCTAACTTTTCTTAATATAACAGCTTTTACTTTCAGAACCTCTACCAGCATCTACAAATACAACTCCTATATTCAACGTCCTACGTGAAACTGACGGTAACCGTGTCTTTGTTTTAGACGTTTCTGGTAGTATGGATGTACGAATCAGCTTATTTTCGTTTTCATATGAATAACATGATTAAATTAAATGTTTATCACTTGCCGTCTATATGAAATTTCATTTTTATAGCAAGAGCTCCATTGTGATTATCTTGTTAGATAATTATAATTAAGATGTTCGTACCATATCTTCAATGCTGGAATATTTTACAGTACATTGTATTATTTTTGTAAATACTTTCAATAGTCGTACATTTAACTCTTTGATGCCTGAGTGTTTTTATCTTAAAGGTTTCTGATAGAATCAAAACGCTATATCAAGCCAGTGAGTACGTGATACAAAATAGAATTCCAGACGGAAGTTGGCTCGGTATTGTTTGGTTCAGCTCGTCTGCCTCCATCAAAATGAATTTAACTCAAGTCGTGTCGCAAGAAGTAAGAGACAATCTTGTCGGTGCATTACCACAAACAACCGGTGGAGGGACCTGTATTGGATGTGGAATAGAAAAAGCATTACAGGTAAATATCATTGTTATATTCTGATATTATAATTTTAAATGTCATACTTACATTGCGGTTGGATTACTAGACAATACGATCATATAACATCTTCTATCGTTGCTCAAGGAAGCATTACCTCATGTGCCTAAATATGGATTATATCGGGCACAAACCTAAATAGAAACATTAACCTTTTTTGAAATTATTTGTAGTTTCCTCGTAGTCCTGGTCTAATTTGTATGTAACGCCTTGAGGTCAAATGATTCAATGTCCACTCAGCAAAAGATGATAACTATGACACTGTTCTGATCCCGTTAAAAATGGTGGCAACTTTGAGGCTAAAGACATATGGGTCACCATTTATATAATCGACATTTCCATATATCAAAACCACCACACCATATTAAATCATGATAGTACCAAATATCATTAAAAAAAACTGACCCATATATAATATAAAACAGAACCATATATCAAACCCACACCACAACCCATCTGAATGACAGAACCATCTATCAAAACAACAAATTAAGATTATAGTTCATACATTATTATATTTCAGATTTTCAGGTTTGTTCTTACAGATTTAACAGGTTGTGAAATCATAGTAATTTCAGACGGCCAAGACAACGGTGGTGATAGCCTTGATTCCGCTGTCGAGCACGCTATAAATGAAAAATGTGTCATACACACCATTTCTATTTCCCAAGCAGCAGATGAAAGAATGATTTCCATGGCAACAAGAACAGGAGGAATTCATATTTCTTACCTCGAGACTGGCACAATAAGTTTTGCATCTCTCTTTATGGAGCTTGTTTCTAGCGGTGTTACACAGTCAGCTTTAGAGTCGACCACGGTTTGTTTTTATTTGTTTACTCAGGTATAAGGTACTTTGAATGTTAATACCTATATTCAGCTTAAAGGTTAATTTGTCTTAGAAATCGCATGCAGATTGCAATATTAGAATTAAGAAACGGAAATTGAAAGGTTAATTGATATGTTATAAGAAATTTTTATCTTGATTGATAAAAAATAATAAAAGCCCTAAAAAACTGGGAACAAGAAACGCTTAGTTTTCAACTGTATCTAATAGTATCTAAACATTGCGTCTTGCATTATTACGTGATATTAGACTTCTATAATATTCAATCGGTCCAGTCAATCTTTTTTCTATATTTTTTTTACTTTTGTGACATACCATGTATGTGTTAAAATGTCAATTGTGTGTGTACTATAAATAATCAGTGTTTATTATCCTATATATTATAATTATGATTTAAATAAACATTATAAGGGTCGTTAATTGAAAAATATGGCACTTGAATTTATATCGTTCGGCGTCAAACAAAATTTCAATAACATATTACTTTAAGGGCCACCTCTTTATATATAGATTTACATACACTCTTATATTATCTTTAACTTTTCGAATATGGCATTGCTGTCTTGGTGCAAAATAATTTGATAAAATGTTCCTTCTTGTAAACAGATTTCGTGTTCATTTTACATTATATATACATATAAAAATCATTTTTGAACTCAAAACTTTATACCGTGATAGGAAGATGCATAGAAATATTAGACTTTTAGGCCACTAAAGTTATGAGTATATGTAGCTTGACATCACACAAATTGCAACACAAGCTTTCTTTAGTTTTTTGCAATCAATATATATGCATTGACCTTGTAGTAAAACCCTAAAAAATATCCCTTCGGAAACTTCATTTATGGCAGGTAGTTTAAGAGTACCTGTTCAGGGATAGAAATCGTACTATAATATCGTTATATGTTTAATATGTGGCGATTGTCTTGTCCTTCCCTGTAATAAATTGGTAGTTTTTTAGCCAGCATGTATTATTTTTCTAATAGCTAATATCGGAGACGGTTGACGCACTGGCTTCATCGCCGTTTTCGTTCACATTTGAGGTAGATAACAGTGTCGGGAAGAATACTACCGTTAGTGTACTTCAAAAGGTATCGACGTCTATACGAATTGAGGTTGAAGGTCCCGATGGAACATTGTACCCACAACATAGCAACGCCGATAGTCTTGTCCTAGATATTCCTGGGACAGCAGGGGTAAGCTTTGGTTGTTTGACTACTTGCATGAGTATTCCGTTTTGAAATTTAAACGCTTAAAAGTAACTCGGTTTCGACATTAAAATCAGTTTTTATTTTCTTTATATCTAAATAAGCTTTGTTTTCAAATTGAAATACTTGGATTTTTTATCATTTTAGTATTTTCATACATCCTATAGAAGGTAAAGTATGATTTAACTAAAAAAACTAAAATCTGTTTTCTTAAAAATGCTTATAATTGTTCGATATTAAACATTCTGCAGCCTGGACAATACAATGTGACAATCGACGCACAAGCACCTTTTGAATATTATGTCACATCTCTGCCAACTGGACCGGAAGTGGTGCGGGTTGTCTCGTGGATAAGTCCAGCTGATTTCAACTTTTCGTCTGATGATCTGCCTGTAGTAGAAGCTGATGTACTGAAAGGGAGGGCTGCTGTTTTAAATGCAAATGTGACTGCAGTTATAGAGACAGGTGGTTCAGATCCGTGTACCGTTGCATTACTTGATGATGGGGTCGGTAAGAAAACTTTAAAACAAAAGATACAGCTCATAAAGCTCATTATTGAATTATTAGAATTTATTTCATGTACGGACGAGGATTTTTTTAAACAAAAACTAAAAATAAAAAACAAACAAGTAATAAATCTAATTGGTTATTTTAAAAGATTTTTTTAAACAAATGAATAGGTCATAAGGTATAACAAAAATAGTCATGCTTCTGTTACCCAAGTTATCAAAGTAATATGCTGGTGAGAATTAGCTGCTGTTTATGGATTGTATTATTATTTTTTATTAAACATTTATAAATCCTGAGCAGCTTTTGAATAAAAAATAATCTAAGCTAACTTTTTTTGAGCTAGTGGTTGATGTGGTTTGACATATTGGCTAATTGAAGCACACATCAATAAAAGTTCTGACCAAATCCATAAAATAGTCTATGGACTGAAATGATACCAAAGATTTTAAAAGTGTGTAAAGCTATATATCTGCTTCAAAATTTTGAAATTTTAAAAAAGAATACTTCCAGAGTGCTTGTATGAAATAAACATAGTAAATAATTGCCTTAAAATCGAATAACGCATGCACAAAACCAAAGCAAAACGGATAAACCCCTACTTTAAGAAGCATATAATATTTTGTTCCGGAACATTTTATTCTGTTATTAATACGTACAATATGAAAGTGTGTTAATAAAAGGGGCATTCTATGTTACAACCTTTTTGCGAATTAACCATATACATGTAATAATGGAACAAGTTGATAATTTTATAAAAATATTTCATAGGATATAGTTTTATACATTTTAAGAGCTAATTTCTTTTCATTTCTAATTATATAACTTAGATCCAGACGACACTGCATATGATGGAGTTTATGCTGCTGTAATACCAAGGTTTTGTATTCAAAATAATGGTCGCGTAACTGCAAAGGTGTATGCTCAAGCAGAAGGTGGTTCAGCGTCTGTTCAGGACACTTTTAGTGGCGGGGCAGGATATCCAGATTCAGGTTCATTTATATAAGTATAGTAGACTAGTACATGAACTAAGAGGTTATACATTATTGAGTACAATACTGCATTGTATTGGAAGAGTACACAGATATCAAATCTGTATTTGGATATGTTGCTTGCCGAGGCTTCTACAGGTTTTACAGCTCTGTACGCGTCCAATAAAATCAGTGTTGCATTCCACAAAGTATACTGACATCTTTGATATTTTGTCAGAACTTTGTCGGATGTTTTGGATTTGGAATTTAAGGACTGCAATAGAAATTTAAAAGTGAATATTTGGGCTAGATAAAGTATAAGAGAATTTTGATACGACATTTTTGGACTGGCAAAATGAAAAAAAGGCTAAATTCGATAAAAAAAAAATGTATTAAAATAGCGAGACCACATGGTGCAAATACTTGAATTGTCACATTTTTATGGTTTGAAATAAGTTTATGTATCGTTAATCATAAGTAAGTAACGTTTGAAAATCTATATTGTCTCTCCAAAAATGATACAAATTTTAAACAGTTTAAGTATTATGCCATTTTACTGAGAGAAATAATACACGTGTACATACATGTATATTCAATATCTATTATCTTGCAATATATGTTTTTGCAAATGATTATTTTAAAAGTCTTAACCAGCATGTAATGACAATGATATCTAGTAAGCTACGCTGCAATATTGTGCATTAAATCAAAACAACACCGTCAACAGTTTTTTCTTGTATACAGACAAGAACAAAGTAACTGAGTTCCTCCATATGTAGCCGAAACTTTGGTATATTAAGTCTTATGGATAACAGAATAAACACATATGAATTGCATTATGGTTATGCGGGAAAAGAGCGTTCACTAAATGCATTCGACCGAAGCGTAGTAGAACAGCTCAATTTTGGGCATTTCAAGAATATCCCAAAACAACTAATTATCTCCAGAAATACAGAAGTTTCACATTTAAGTAATTGGGTAATAGGATTTGTTTTATTTGTAGTAGTAATTTTTTACTTCAAACTATGATTACAAGCGAATAATGTATGGATTATAGATGAAGAGTTTGAAGAGCCAGAAGTTCTTGAAGACAGCTTCCAGCGTGTCTCTTTGCGTAATGAGATTCTGGTATCTGACTTCTCGAATGCCATTGCGAATACTGACATCACATCGCCTGGTCGTGTCACAGATGTAGATGTTATAGATATATCTACAGAAAAAACAAATTATGGTGAGAGCAGAAACTTCACCATCACGTGGACGGCAACAGGAAATGACGTCAACATTGGACAAGGTTTGAATCACCCTTTTTCCCTATTTGCGTCTATTTAATTAATCTGAAATTTGGAACACTTTCAGAATACATGTAATTTATAATATCTTTATGTAGCTGAAGTCTTAATACTTGCCTAATTTCAATATATGTTGGAGTCCTTTTGGAGGACTTCACATCACTGACATATAAAAAGGCGGTAGTTTGACTAAAACAGTTTCGGCCTATACTGTAGAACTTATGCTTGAAAAAATATAAATTAAAAAGAAAGACTGGTGTTTTTATATGAAAGGCTTAAGTATTTATGGAATATTAACACCGTATAACTTCATTTTCATGACAAGCAGCATATTTAAAGGTCTGTTAATGTGTTTATGAGATGAACTGTGCGTTTATAGAATGAACTTTATATGTGATCTGAATACAATGCCTATAACATCGTAGCGCTTTCATGAATTCAAACGCCAATCTTATGTAACAAACACAACTTTCATTATAGCTACAGGCTATGAGCTGAGAATTGCAGACGACATCCATACCCTGATTAATAATTTTTCGTCTGCAACACTGCTAGATGTTGTCAATGCGAACTATACACCAAAAGCGGCTGGTGAAGTGGAGTATCTAAGACTAGAAATAGACGCAGAAGAATCGTACACGTCAACCACATTCTTTGCAATGCGGGCAAAGGACGAAGCTGGAAACGTAGGTGATGTTTCTAACATCGTTTCTATTCTTGTTGCCAATGGATACAGAATAACTGTAGAAGGTGATGTAGATTTTATATTCAGTACTGAAGAAGATCCCGTTGAAGGAGGAGAAGAGCAGACGAAAAATCTGACAACGCTGGCCATTGGTTTATCATGTGCAGCAGCGGTCGTCGTCATAGTGATAGTAGTGGTAGCGGTGTTTGTAAAAAAATCCAAATGTGACAGCAAGACGATCACCAAAGGTAAAAAGTACTATACATTTACAAGAGTAACTGTTTCAACGTTTTATCCATCTACATTGTATTTCATACACTGATGTATCAAAACAACTATTATTGCTCTCTTAAATGGCACATTAAAAAGCTATCTCCTATTTAGAGGTTATTATATCCTATTAAGTATCATGACATGTTGATAAAAAGCTATTCTGTGTCAAGGCGTAATCAAGTAAAACTAAATTTATGGAGATCCGTTAATTTATACAATAAATATATTGGATTATGATAGCTTTCGGGATAAATACTCTTTTTCGTCACCGCCAGATTCTATGGGTATCTTCACACAAAAAAACTACCAAATGTTTTATAGTAAATATGTCTCTTGTAAAACGTATACATCTTTTTCCTCAACAGATTGTGAGCATGGCAGTAGGTCCTCTACATATACTGTTTCCTTTGATAACCCGCTGAAAAACTAACTTTGATAACTTTGGCACAGGAAACTTCCACTTAAAAACTTACAAGCCACAGAAATCTTACTAACCACATAAAACTCCTACTGAAGAACTGACAACCCACAGAAAACTTACAAACTAAGAAAAATCTCCTGCTGAAAAACTGACAACCCATAGAAAATTTACAAGCCAAGGAAAATCTCCTCTGAAAAACTGACAACCAACAGAAAACTTACAAACCACGGAAAATCTCCTACTGAAAAACTGACAAACCACAGAAAACTTACAAGCCACGGAAAATCTCCTACTGAAAAACTGACAACCCATAGAAAACTTACAAGCCAAGGAAAATCTCTTCTGAAAAACTGACAACCAACAGAAAATTTACAAACCACGGAAAATCTCCTACTGAAAAACTGACAAACCACAGAAAACTTACAAGCCATGGTAAATCTCCTACTGAAAAACTGACAAACCAAAGAACTTACATGCCACGTAAAATCTCCCACTGAAAAACTGACTAGCAATTGAAAACTTACAAGCCACAGAAAAATCCTACTGAAAACGGACAAGCCACAAAAAAAAACCTACAAGCCACAGAAAACTTCAACTGAAAAACCACAGAAACTCCCCCTTAAAAGCTGACATATTGATAAATAATATTCTTTTAATCTGCATTCAGATATAGTTCAGCTACATTGAAAATTATATTTTATAAATTTCACTAGTTGCTTATCAGAATATAATCATTTGATAGATTACAATAAAACACAAATATAGAATAAAATTCAATAAAAACCGTGCTTCAACCCATATGCATAAAGTTATGTAAAAAAAATCAAATTGAGTAGTTTAACATTATTGCACTGTAATAGAGAAGAATGACCAGTTATAAACCTATATCAATGTTTATTACTTCAGCAGTATGTCACAAAGTTAAAGACTTCTTTTCTACAAATGTATGAACCTTAACTCGAAAACATGCTAAAGAAATATTAAAACTCCTATTCCCTGTATAAACATATCTTTTTAGCTCACCTGTCACAAAGTGACAGGGTGAGCTTTTGTGATCGCTTTTCGTCCGGCGTCCGTCCGTCCGTAAACTTTTACTTTAAATTACATCTTCTCATAAACCACTAAGCCAACTTCATCCAAACTTCACAGGAATGTTCCTTTGGTGGTCACCTTTTAAAAATTGTTCAAAGAATTTAATTCCATGCAGAACTCTGGTTGCCATGGCAACCGAAAGAAAAAACTTTAAATATCTTCTTTTAAAAATCCCTAAGAACTAGAGCTTAGATATTTAGCATGCAACATCTTCTAATGAGTGTCTACCAAGTTTGTTCAAATAAAAGCCCTGGTATCAAAATTGGTCCCGCCCCAGGGGGTCTTTGATTTTCCCTATGTACCGACGTTGGTAGAACGTCATATAATGAGCATTACAATATGAGAATACTAAAGGTGATGAATTCACATAAAGGATAGTATCAAATATCATGGGGGAGGAAGTGTTACACGAAGGATGGAGTTCTTATGATAACTTGTTCAGGAGTTCTTGTGATAACTGTCACGGAGTTCGCAGGAAAACATCTGTATATACTACAAAAACACTCGTCAAAAATGGTTATTTTCATCTTTCCAAAATGAGTTTTAGGTGCTAAATTAAACTTTAATGATTAAGCTTGTCTTACATCTTGTATTATGTGTCAAAAACTAATTCACAGGCTAATTTTCATCGCCTCTTGCTTCAAATCTGGTAGTTTTGAGTAAAATTTCCAAATTACTTGCCAATTCACAAGTTTTGACCGGTTTATTTCTGGCATTCATCCATTCCATACATAATTACCTATTTATAATGCAAATTGCAAACATAAAGCACCGGCTTACAGATTTATAACCGATTTTTCAAATGCCCCGGAGTTCTTGTGATAACTCTGAAGATGTCACAGAGTTCTTATGATAACTTTTGTTATTGCTAGTGTGTTTCTTTGGCCAAATCACGGCACGTTTTGGCGTTTATTATCATTCAATAAGATTGTAAATCATTATGAAATGCAGTACGATCATCCTTTGCACAAAAAATGTGGATAAAACGTTGGTCTCAAGTGTCTGCAAAGGATAAGTAGGTGATAGGCTATCATCTACAGTAAAATTGAACCAGCAGCCACTGATATTAAGCAGTATAATGGCTTAAACAACAAAACAAAAATGTCTCAAAACGTACACGTTGTTCTCAGTTTCACATGTTTTAAGCAACCACCTTTCTTAAGCAGACAATATATAGGCATGCTTCCCTTACCTAAAGGCTAAGTAATTTGTATCATTTTATACCATAATAAATAAGTATATAACCAGGATAATTTCCACACCTATGTCTTTAAAAAAAGTACGATACATGATAAAAACTCAACTGCGGTTGACTCTAACTACTAATCTCTCGAAAAAATTTGAACTGTCCCTCCAGGTTCCAGATTTACCTAGAATGGGATTTATTGTGCATGGGCATTCAAACTATAATTCCCCAGGTGTTGCTTGTAAGTGTCGCAAGTCCTCTAATGTAACTTAAAACAACAGACAAAACTCTGAAACATATTAATCGCTGTACTATTATAACTGCTGTATTACATAGAAAACAAATGTTTCTCTGATTGATGCAGTAACATAGATGCTGTACTGAGAAAAAATAGACTGTATGCCTGGATGAAAATGATAAAGGGCCAGAAACCTGCTAGGGGCCGGAAACTGCAAGGAAACCAGTACATAAATCATTTTTCAAGTCTACGAAATCTAAGTCAAACAAAAAAGAATACTATGAAAAAGAAACAGGGGGAAAGAAAAAATATCTCTTGAACTAAAATTCACTCAAAACCAACGTTTAATATATATCCTATTTTTTTTTGCGCAAAGGATGAGCGTACTACATGTCATAATGATTTACAATCTCAATGAATAACTAAAAACGCTAAAACGTGCCGTGATTTAGCGCAAGGAACATACTTGCAATAACAAAAGTTATCATAAGAACTCTGTGACATTTCAGAGTAATCACAAGAACTCCGGGACATTTGAAAAATCGGCTATAAATCTGTTAGCCGATGCTTTATGTTTGCAATTTTGCATTAAAATTAGGTAATTATGTATGGAAAGGATGAAGACAAGAAATAAACAGGTCAATACTTGTGAATTGGCAAATAATTTGGAAATTTTACTAAAAACTACCAGATTTGAAGCAAGAGGCGATTAAAAATGGCCTGTGAATCAGTTTTTGACACATAATACAAGATGTAAGACAATCTTAATCATTAAAGTTTAATTCAGCACCTAAAACTCATTTTGGAAAGATGAAAATAACCATTTTTAACGAGTGTTTTTGTAGTATATACAGATGTTTTCCAACGAACTCCGTGACAATTATCACAAGAACTCCTGAACAAGTTATCATAAGAACTCCATCCTTCGTATAACACTTCCTCCCCCGTGAATATATAAGGGCATAAACCACACTCGGTGGAGAGCTAGCATTACACCGACCGAGGGTTTGTGTGCCTTAATAACGTTACACCTGTATGCATATAGTAAAAACTTAAAATATCTTTTTTTAAAGAACCCAAAGAGCTAGAGCTAAGAATT